ATCCAGCTACTAGGAGGTAACAAATTGTGGATATTTATAGGCATGCACTGTGGATGCGATACTCCCTGGTGTGGATTAACGTCTGCACTAGTGAGTACTACGACTACCCGCAGTGCTATCCTGATTAGATAAATCCTGATAATTAGACCAATATGTTAACAACAAGGCAAAAATGTGATTTGGATCCACTATAAACTGTAGGTGTCTTGGTTGCCATTAGCTGTATGGGCTATTAATTAACAGCTGTGTCTAAAGAACAAGTCAGCCTTAGTGACAAGACCACTCATCCTTCAATCATATTTGGGTTAAAATTCACCTAGTGGCGTCCCCATCTCAAATAATTGATATATTACACTGTTACTGCTGAAACGATCCTTTGTAGTTTGTTAGGACTACAGCTGTTTTATGCTTCGAATGGAGCACGTCATCAGATCAAAAGAATATAAAGCAGAATTCATTTAAATATTCCTCGATATGAAGTTTGTCAAAAGTTTAATAAATAAGTAACATAAAACATAACACAAAACAAAAGATTTAGCACTGGTCGACCAACAAAACTTGGTAACAAAACTTGGGCTATGGCGCCGGCTGAGGTTGAGTCGGGACTTGTTGTGGTAGATGGTTAGGTCTGATCAAAAGACAAGTGGTTTGAGGTGTTGTTTATGGACAGGAGACAGTACTGGGTTTGTATCATGTCTTGGTCTGGTCTAGTGTGCTAATCATCAGCACTCCCTTTGTTGTGTTTGGAGTTGGGTGGTAGAAGTCCAAACAGTGGATAGCTTGGGTGGAAGTTGACATGATAATAGATTTTTGCCTTAAATTTTGTCATCTTTCAGCTTTTTACTCATCATAATTCTCTGTATGTCCACAAAAATCCTTTGATGGAACTTCAACTGTTATTTCTTTAAATTTAGAAAGTTATATTGTAAGCAACCATATAGTGGATGAACGACAAAACACATAATTAAAAAAAGCATTGTTTTTACTAAGGATCTTATTTATAAATAGTAGCCTATATAGTATTCAGTTTACAAAATAATCGAGGTTACATACCTTCAATCCAAGCTATTCCTGTTTTTGGTCAAATAACTATATAAGAGTATACATTTAGGGATTACAATCCCATCATCAGGTCTTCAAAAAACAAGAAACATCATCTTCGCAGACTCTTCACTTGGGGGTACACAACACATACATAAAAAACATGTAAACAATAATTTGAAATACATAAAAAATACTTTTTTACCACACTATGATGTTTTTAGCTGTTTTACATACGTTAATTGGTGGCTGAAAGCTACGTTTTGCTGGACATGCCAGCTGTCATCGTCATTTGGGGACCGAGCAGGTTTTTACATCCCTAGCGCCACAAAATCAACTGCCCGCTAACTTTAAATACACAATCAGAATCCATAGCATTGCAATAGAATTGTTTTATAGTCACCGCTGCCTAGCAACTATTTAGTATTATTTTTGCTGATTCTTGATTTCTTCACATAACCTTAAAGTTGTAGTTGTGTTGACTGTCAGTGTGCATTATTATTGTGGTGAATAGTGGTAATAGAGTATAGTGTGGTGAAAAATAGCTTCGTACCACGGACCGAAATGGTTTTGGCCCTAGGTACGAAATATACTACAAAATTTAAGGTAATAAGGCCGGCTTGAAATAGACTCCTCGCCTAAAAAAAACCTTTAATATTTTTTTTATACATATAGTCTAAGTCAATGTTTGAATTGTTTATGAACCTTCAATTGTGTAACCGAAGGCGGACAGAGCAATGCAAACTTCCATCGGTTAGTTTGGCCTTGCCACTAAGTTGGTAGGATGGGGTTGGCTCCCATTTTGAGGTTAGAAATTGTACTAGTTCATAGCTTGCTTCATCTGTGGTTTTTCGATTTATTGTGTGTGTATTTTGCCTTTTCTTTTCCCTTTTATTTGGCAATACCCTTGGCCTGTAAGCAATTTTGTTTAGTGCTGTTACCTGATGATTTCTTGTAGCTATATTACGGATCTCCTATTGCTATTGTATAAACTGAATTTCAACATTCCCTCACACTCATCCACGCACTGCCTTGGCTGTTTCTGCTCCCAGCCATGAGTGGACTGCAGCAATTATAATTAACTGACTCCACAATAGGGATTAGGGAATGGCCTACTTTTAATTTATCCGGACTCCAGAGTGCATATATGTTTTTGCTATGAATTGATTAAGCAAAATATATTTTTTTGTATTTGGTTTACTGTTGTTTCTTTTGCTAAGTGCAAATATAGAAATAAATATAACACATAGGGATAGTTTTATTGTTTTTAGCGAATTTCCCATATAGGGAATAAGCTATTACCGTAGTACTCATGGTAAGACCTGGACGCGGGACCGATTTTTTTTTTCGTTTTGAGGTCCCTAGAGGCCAAAAACACCATCCGTTCAAATTCATATATATATATATATTTATATATTTATATATTTATATATTTATATATTTATATATATATATATATATATGTGTCCGTCAGCACGATAACTCGAGCAAAAATGATCCGATTTTGATGAAAATTGGTACAAACGTGTAAAAGTACGTTTATTCGAACGAGTTCGCAATCCAGCATGATCGGACCATGGGAACGGGGGTTTACGGGGGGTTTTATGGGGTAAAAATAGGTTTTTCTAATTTTTGACCCAAAAAACATAAAATTTAGCAATTTCTTTCCAAACCATTTTGTAGAGCTTAAAAAAACAAATAATTTAGTATATTGAAGCGTTATTATGCGCCTAATGGTTACGGAGAAAATTCCAAAAAATTGTAAATTTAAAATTCCCATGTTATTCTTATGGAGAATAAGTAAACTGTTGTAGTTTGCTTGTTTGTGAACATATTTTGATCAAATTTGGAAAATGTTTTTATTTCTAACTAACTATTCACATTTTACAAAAAAAATCAGTTTTACCCTCCCTGATGCAGCAAACCTAAGTAGGTACTTGTTAAACTTATTCTATTTAAATCAAGAATAAATGTTATATTTTTAAGTAGACATTTCAGTGTAAATCCAATCAGTCAAATGGAAATTCGCTTAGTCTGCAGGTTTGCTGCGGCGGGGGTAATATTTAGTTTTATATTTGACACCATTTCTTGTAATGACATGTACAAGGACAAATAAAGTTGATTTGATTGATTGATTGATTTATACAATGTAGTATACTGTTTTTAATACACATGAGTAAAGAGAATGACTATTCATGAACATGAATGGTGCCTAGGCAACAAGCTGCACCACAGAGTAGTAAAAACAACAAAAACACTTTTAAGCTTACAATGATTGTCTAGTAGCATTGACTATTGGATACAGAAGTTGTATTAATAGCCAAAGCTAGTAGTTATTTTTTTCTTCGCTAGTCGCATTTTACGAGAGGTCAACGTGAGATAAATGTTCAATTGAATAATTGATTATGGTATATCACCTAAAGACATATGAAGTGCTGCTGGCCAGTGTTTACATTTATTGCCAAAACCCAAGATACAAATTGCAACATAGGTTTTGGAATGTTGCCTCTGTAAATTTAACTTGAGTTAAGGAGTAAATGACACTTTTATGAAATCAAGTTGTGCTCGCCTAAAGAAAGACTATGATTTGCCCTTGGTTCAATACAAGACATTGCAAGTGTGTGGTTACAGCTCTCTGTGGCTCAAAAACTGCTTATGAGAAGAGTCAATTCACTACATTTTCTTGCAGTGCTATATACCATTCAATCCCATTCAGTTCTTTGTGACAGCGACGCACACATAGTTGCATATTTTAAGCTGGCTATGGATGAAGCATGAGTGTAGAATGGAGTGAGATGATCTGTGTAGCTTTGATACTGACTAAGACCAATACTGTTTATTAAAGCCTGATGGTCAAGGAAAGATGGGTTGAGGTTTAAACTTTCAAATACTAATGTTTTAGGATCGAACCAACGACCTTATCATTACTAGACAAGCTGTATAAACTTAAACATGAAATTTTATTTTAATCTTTTTTTTAGGCTTTTAACTCTACAGAAGTAATTTCATTTGTAACTGAAATTACATAAATTCTTTCTGGTCTAAGCAAAAATCAAAAGTCAAAGGTGTTTCAAAATGAACAGTCCACAGTATTTGTTACTTCTCTATCATTGACTCGACCCATGCACTAATACAACAAAACAATATAATATTAGATGACGGTTAATGATTTTATTAAACTCGTCCACATGCAGGCATTACATTTATTCTGCTTGTTCATGCATGTACAGGTTTTTACTATGTATTTGTTTTAGAATTAGTCTGTAATAAATATATTAGTCTAGCAATTCCATTGAGCTTAGTTGCTTTGCGTATTGTCTTTAGTTGTAAGCATGTACGTACATGTTTATAAAAAAGCTGACTATAGGACAAATTTCAAAGAACATTTTTTAAGGTGGAGTAAAAGAAAAAGTTTTATTATGTCATTGAATATATCTTTATTGTTCTTTTTATTTACTCCTATACATGTCCAAAACTAAAGTAATTGTTTTATGAAAAATATTTTAATCTGTAAGTCTTAAACACAGGATAAATTGGTGCAGGGTAATAAATTACAAGCTTTTAACATCACTGATTAGTCATACATCACAAAAATTGTATAAACCGGGAATGCAATGCTTGAAAATACTGGGATCTCACTGAATGCTAAAATTCAACAATAAGATAAGAAAACATGTAAATTTATAAAGGCACTTATATTGGGCGTCAACTTCTTAAATTTGAACAAACAAAAGATTTGTTTAAAATTGTGCAGAAAATTAGGCCTACACACACAAATTTAAACACACACTAAAACCCCATGCACCAAGGTCTAGTAAACATTCACTATACTGAAACACTCAGTTAAAATGTATTTATTAATAACAAAATAATTATATAACAGATTATCTGTAAAACTAGTTCAAAGGATTGCAAACAAAATGTTATTTTTAGCCCCCCAAAAAAAAACACAGAACAACATTTCACTAAACGTCATTTCTTTAAATAATTCCCTTAAGTTTTAAAATAACAAGTATTTTAAATTGTGATGGTAAATAAATAAAATGAATAGCTTTGAAGAATTTTACACTGTTTCCAAATCATATGGAAAAATTTCACACCAACAAAACCTAGGCTATATTATTTCTATTAAACCAAATGCTAAATCACAGTTTTTCCTCACATCCCCAATTGGTAAAATCCTCTAACAAAATGTTAAAAATCCACACAAACTGCTTCACCTACGCCTACACCTTAGCAGCAATACCACAACAGTTAATACAAACATTCATATCAAGATGGCACTGGGTGGTAGAACATGATCATGATGGCGGTGAAGTGAGTGGATGTTGCCATGCTAAGCTAGGTGGGTGGGAGAAGGTGGAATGTTACCTTTGGACACGTCCCACAGTTTGACTCGTCTGTCTGCGCCTCCGGTCGCCACTACATGGTCCACGGGACTCCATCTCACAGCACTCACTTCACTCTCGTGAGCGTCCTACGGACATAATGGCACTTAACACACACCGTCACAGAAAACCTACAGACTAAGCGAATTTACACGCACGATTGGATTTTCACTAAGTTATTACCTTTAAAATGGCACGTGTATTACCTGAAGGAATTAGGTTAAACAAAAAATAAATAAATCATTCTCAAGTCAAATAGGTCTTACCACGAGACCTACAGTAATAGCTAAATCTCTCTATGGAAAATTTGCAAAAAGATATTTACAAGCAGAACAAGAGAAAAAAATCAGTAAATCCATTTTAGCCGCCCCCTGTTGAACTGAAACCCGTATTTGCCAGACCATCTTGAAAAAATCAAATAAACTGGAAAAATACTAAAATAGGTAGGCAAAGGAATTGTCTGTCATTTGCTGAACAATCAAGTGAACCATGCAACTCAGCAAGTAACTTACTTTTAAAAGTATGGAATAGAAATCTTTTGAACGAACTAGTAATAGTCTCAGAAGACAATTGTAATTCTCCTTTTATAAGTCTCTCTATTAAAAAACCGTACCGTATTTAGATAGACATGTATTCTGATGGTACAGAAATACCAGTACCATATTCTTATTTTAATGTTGGTTGTCGGTACCGATACTTGTTCTATGAACTGATTGTACCAAGCTTCGCATTTAGGTACCAACACATGGCTAATTATGGTCCCCATGTTCCCTTTAAAGTCGCCACTGCTTTGATTACTGTATATGGCATCAAAATAGCACAAGTAAAAAATATATATTGAAAGGGTTGCAAAATCAATTTTTCCTTGAGTATTGTAGAGGGTATCAATAGGCTCAGTACTACCAGGAGGCAGATACTATTTATGGACTACAGTTGTAAAAGATGTTGTGTGGATGCAAAAGTCACTCAAAATAGTTACTTTCTGTTTCCACTTAGAACTGATAAGAATTTATAAAGAATATAAATGTGAAATTGTGAATATTTTAAATAATGTTATTGTATGATCCATTGTGAAAATATCCTTTTACTATTTTACCAAAATCGTATTTAAAGTACTTTAGATTCAATTTCTTGGTGTAATAGATTAGTGGGGAAATTGACAGCAATTGTTTAGAGAACAAAAATGATTCTGCAACAACCAAGATGTAGTTTATATACTATGATTATCATTTCAGTCACTCTAAGTCAGAAAACATATTATGACAATGTCTTTCAATATTGATTTGTTAACTCAGGGCAAATATAGATAAAACCACTACCATTTACCAGTGGATAATCAACCCTCGGTTTAATTGTGTACAAGATAATAATGTTGACACTGTTGGTCAAATTTTAAATTTAACAGATTCTCTTGAAGAGATGTTAGAACGCACACTGCATATTGTACGCTAAAATTTGGTTGTCTTAAGAGACTATTTTTTTACAGTATTTACATCTACTGAGTAGAATGTGTGAGAAGTCTTACAAACTTGATTGAAGGCTTGGTCGGCACCGAGGCACAGAGCAGTGCGGGGCCGATGTTGTGAGCGTACAAGTCAGGCGCAAGTCCACGCATGTCCTTGGCTGCGTCCTCCAGCTCCTTCTGCATCTTGGCGTTCTTTTTTCTGTGTCAAAACATGATCAAATGAGTTGTGGGTTACAGAAACAATGAATCATCACAAATATTGATAGGTTGTTTTATATCCCACTTTCACATCCAGCTCTATCCTGGAACCTTTACACATTATTTGCTTGGCCTAGAGGTTCGCGGAATCTATATATTAATTTGAAACTGTTTTTCTTTGTGACAGCTATTTTGAGAGAACGGCTGGGCGTAGAAACTCGGTAGAGGTGTATAAAGAAAGATCCTGGTCTGTAGATGAGCCATCAAAAGAGAAACATGGAGAATTCCCTCGGGGCTCTGCCCCAGTGGCCTTTAAATTCCCATCCCATGTTATTCTTATGGAGGAAAACGAGGTTTTTGTCACAGCTAATTTGAGAGAACGGCTGGGCGTAGAAACTTGGTAGGGGTGTCTAAAGAAAGGTACAGTAGACTCTCGCTCATCCGGATCGGCCTTGTCCCGACTCCCGGATCGGCAATCGTGATTTTTTTTAGTGGCTCAGTACAGTAGACTACCTCGAATAATGAAAAAACTCGGTATGAATTATTACCGGTGGAAGTGCATATGCCTGGGCTATCATTACTGTGGACCTGGAACAAAATTCGGCCGAAAAAATTATTACTGGTGGAAGTGCATATGCCCGGACTACAATTACTGTGGACCTGGAACAAAATTCAGCCGAAAAAATTATTACCGGTGGAAGTGCATATGCCCGGGCTATAATTACTGTGGACCTGGAACAAAATTCGGCCGAAAAAATTATTACCGGTGGAAGTGCATACGCCCGGACTACAATTACTGTGGACCTGGAACAAATTTCGGCCAAAATATTATTACCGGTGGAAGTGCATATGCCCGGGCTATAATTACTGTGGACCTGGAACAAAATTCGGCCGAAAAAATTATTACCGGTGGAAGTGCATATGCCCGAGCTATAATTACTGTGGACCTGGAACAAAATTCGACCGATGGTGGAAGTGCTATGCCCGGCTATCATTACTGTGGACCTGGAACAAAATTGAAAAAACGTCTATATACAGTACTGTGTATTTGCTCGCCTCTCAATAGTCCGGATTTTTCGTAATCCGGACCGGACGTCCGCCACATTAGTCCGGATGAGCGAGAGTCTACTGTATTGGTCTGTAGGTGAGCCCTCAAAAGAGAAATGATGTAAATTTCCTTGGGGCTCTGCCCCAGAGGCCTTTAAAGTTCACTCTGCAATTTTATTTACATTTCGACCATATGGATAATTTTACACTACTTTTAATGAACCAGCTGTTAATATTAAAATTGTATTCAAAGGTCTACTGAAACTGTCAAAATTAAATGTTTACATTATTATTTCTGATTTTAATGGATTCTCCACTGCATGGCAAGTTTTTTATAGTTTCAACAAAATGATGAATTTATGATACATTTGAAATGTTTTGTTCAAAAATCTATGCTTTAATGCTCTTAGAAAATTTTAAATTATGAAATAAGTGTGACTTATCAATTTCAAAGGAACATATTATTCCTTATCGGGTTAGCTTATACATATTGTAAGGTTGGCACTTGCCTTTTTTTCCTACTTTCAATCACCATTTATTTTTAAATTCAAGAAAGAACACCTGAGATTCATTTATTGGTATAACAGTTTTTGATAATCGGGTTGAAAATTGTGTCATAGATGAGTACGTTGAGGATGAGAGCTGTGTTCAAGTTTTGGAATAGACTAACTACGGAGTCTATGGTTTTGGTAAAGTAGGTGAACTAATGTCAATTCAGGTATTTAAAAAAAGTGTACACAGTGTTTACTTTGATGTACATGTAGCTAGGTTGAACAACGCATCTAAACCTCACTAGATACAAAACATTCGGAAACACAACAGTGTCATCACATCTCATCGCATTTGCATAATTTGTTACCAATGCTGGACTAGGTTATGGATTTGGTTCCGCAAATGTTCAAGATTTGTGATAAAATTTCCTAATTATGGTTCTTTCCAATCCACGAAATACATGCACAGCTTTATGTGATCTATATGGCCAAGGCAAAACTACCCCATAAGTTAATGAATTATCAAGTAAGAACAGGATGATTAAATACATTGGTCGATGTGGCAAGAGAAGGATTTAAAATTGCTGAGATCGAAGTAAGAATGTTACTGCTTTCTGGAGAATCAGATATTTTTATAAAAAAAAAGATGAAGATTTACTTATTTATCCGGATACAATCTGAACAAACTCATGAACAAACAATTATAAGACTCTTAAAAAACCTTTTGGGCAACCTAAAGCCGATAAAAAGAAAGGTAGGAAATATTGTGTTAAACGAATTCATCAATCACGTTTTTTTAGGGAACACAATCGTCATACTTATTATTGCTTATCCTCCCTTCATATAACTAAGATTTTAATGACTTCACTCTATCCAACGCAGTTAGCTGAATTTACATAATACCTCAAGATTAACCGTCGATTTCGACCACTTAAGATAAAATCCATTGGTGATTGGCTGGATTTGAAACTACAAACAAAGTCCTTTGCTCTCTATTGAACGAGCACACTTCTCAAAGAGAGATAATAGGTCACCCAATTCATAATTTGATATTACAATATTAAATACTGGATAAGGTATGCTGGAAAACCAGGAAATATTATTTTACTTATTTAATGTTCAGTAAGGCCTACCAATGTACCGTAATAGAAAGTTGATTAGTCAAGTATGAAAACTTTTACTTATCCCATGATTATCTTATGTTTTTTTTAACCTTGGTTGGAATTAAAGATTTTGTTTATTGATTGATATTACTATAGAATTTGTTTACTATTTTATTATGTTACCTCACAAAGTTTTCATTTTCTTCATTCATTTTCTCAGCATCTTTGGACTTGTACTGCTTTAACCGATCCACAATCTCCCGGTTCTCATCCTGGAAAATACAATCATTAGTAACAAACTAGTGTACATGTTGCTCGAATTCGAGCAATTGCAAAGTATTACAGGAGTTATTTCAAAACGGATAACAGTCATATTTACAATGAATTTAAAAGATTCAACTCAAAGATTACCGGTGTGTAACTCAGACCATGTTTATCTTCATTATTAATAAACCTAAAGCATTCCGGCCGGTTTTCTCCTTCTCAAAATGCCTCGCTGTACAGGCAACACAGGTCATTGATAGAGGGCCAAATTTGAACGAAAAGTTGTTTTGGGGTAGTGTTAGGGCGCATTTTAACCTAATAGTTGAGCCTATTACGTGTCACTGTTCTGTAGCTACGGTCGTTATCACGATTACGCCTCCTGTCTATGTTTCATTGTCGTAGCGTCGGAGGCATTTAAAAGAAAAAAACAACAAATAAACAAATTATATCTACACAAAGCAGCGATAAATTCACAAATTTAAGTTACAATCATACTAACACGATCTGTCATAGCGACACAAAACAACGATAAATACACAAATTTAAGATACAACCATACTAACACGATATGTTTTCGTTTTGGGGGTTATGTTTACACAAACTCAAACAGTACTCAATGCGTTTCATTGAATTGAAAAATAAATAACAGCAATTAAATTATACAGCTGATCAAAATGTAAACAATTATGTTCTTCATAAGGATAACATGGGAACTTTCAAAGCCACTGGGGCAGAACCCAAGGGACTTTGTCAAAAATGTAAGGCCAGTTTGCAAATCTACGCGACACGCTCTTTCCAATGAGACGTCAATGGATAAAATCGGTTAAGAGATGGCGGAGGAGTTCAACCGACAAAGTTTCATGTAGCGTATTAATTATATAGATTACAATTGTACAGCAAAATAAACTAATTACTGTTATGACTAAATTTAAAATTCTAATCACCATCAGTGAATCTGAAATCAAAAATGGACGTTTGAGTACGGTAACAATTAATTATAGACCTCTTTTATTGACATCTTAGTTATAATTACTAATATTATCTTCTATACATAATAGCTGAACAATTAATTGTGTTTATTATTAAAAAGTTTATTTTGTTGATCATACATGACATAAGGTTTTATCATTCTAACAAAGTATTGGAATTATTTACTTGAAGTTGTTTTATAATGTTGTTTTGTAATGTTTTATTTTATTTGAAACGTCCCAAAAAATAATTGTCTGATTAAAATTAAAACTTTAAAAATCTCTACAGATAATTGTCAGAAAACAACAAACCTATAAGTGATTCTACTAATTACTTTTAACTGCCTCGTCTAATTTCCTTGAAAGAAGCCAATAGTTCATGACAGGTCATTTATTATTCATCATATTGACTGCCGTCTCTTCTCCTTTTGTAAAACTGTTCTTATTAAAAATATACACAACTACTTTGATAAATAAATGAATCAATTTATTGAGGTTTGTATTTAAGTGTAAACCAAAAGTTATTGAAATAACATTTTCTTTTTTATTGGATTTAACAGTTATAATTTGTCTTTATAATTTAAAAATGGTCATATTTTAACAGTTATCAAATAGTTATTTGAATTAAAATGTTTCAGCTTAATATGTGAAATATTGGGTAGTGTACCAAATAATAGGGTTTCTCTAGTCCATTGCTTGTTTCCTCTCTCTCATTCATAACGAGTTCAAACATTGTGTAACCACCCAAAAATGGTTCTATGTAAACTCGTTTACAGAAAATGTGAATTAGTTTAGGCTGTGAATCATTAGTTTTTATAAATTCAATATTACCACAGCATTTCTTTTTACAAAAAGATTATTATATCATTTAATAACTGCTGTTTTAATAAAATTCTAGCTATTTTTAAAAGGCATTAATACATATTATTAATAATAATAGTCACTGTGTTAATTTCTTACCTTATAGAATGCCCAAAGCAAAACTCATAACTTTTTTATTAGAAATATTTATTTTACAACACAAACTAAATCAACCAATTTACAGGTCCACTATAACAAAACTTGTTTCACAAAACCATGAATGAAAATGAGGCACCTCATAAATTAAAGCAACTAGACCGGTAAACAAAGCGTTTTATTAATGTACTCGTAAATTTAGAACTGAACAAACGGCAGAGAAACTGGGCAAAAACCGAAGCTGGAGTTAGTCTGGAAGTGAGCAAAATGTAACTTGTTATAAATATGACTCAAAAGTTTGGATTGTTGCCAGGAAGTCCACTGCTGGAGGATTTCCAAACCATCTTCATTAAGCCGCTCTATGACAAACACGGACCAAAATATAGGCTAAATATTTCAAGCGAATATTCCACTTATAACCCAAAACTTCTTTGCCAACATCTAACTGCTATAATCAAATCCCTTATAGCCTAATGTCGCTTTGAAAATTTTCTCTTGGAAATTCTTGGCTACTAAATGTTCTGAAATGTCGACCATAGTTTGAACTTTATATTGTACCAGTGTGTTTACAACTCAAACTTCTATTAAGAATTTACCAGGCACATGGATAAAACACTCCAAAAATAATTGTGCTAGGAATAATTTATACTCAACATTATACCAATATTTTATTGTATTTTTACCATGGTACTTTTTACTGTAGAGATGTGTTAATTAATAGTTGTTTTATAATGTACTTTTCAAAAAAGTCCAAATTCATGATAAATCGATAACAACTTATTCTGAACATGGATACTTAATTATGAGCTGATTTTTCCTTAAACAATGTCGGTACTTGTAATTCGGGTTGTGTAATAAAAACACCTTGTGGATATGGATCAATAAATTCTGAGGTAAAAATATTCTAAATACTTAGGTTTATTGTGTTTACAATATACTTCAGTTGGTTATTCTGATGAATTTTTTAAATACCCTCGCCACAGCAAACCTCCAGACTAAGCAAATTTCCATGTACCTGGCTGGATTTCTACAAAAATATTCCCTAAAAATTGTCAGATTTATTTCCTATTTAATTAACATTTTATTGCAATGTCGATAGCTTAGTATTAAATAAACAAAATGTTCACATTTGGTTTAAATATACAATAAAACCTTGATAACAATACTCTCATGGGGATGGTAAAATAAGACTTGTTATCAAGGTTGACTTCTTATCGAGGTTTGTAATAACATGTGATTAGGGGTAAAATAATTTTTAAGGGGATTTGAAAATGACACTTGTTATCAATGGCGACTTGTTATCGAGGGTCTTCTTATCAAGGTTCCACTGTATCCAAAAACAAGCAAACTACAACAGTTTACTTATTCTCAATAAGAATAACATGGGAATTTTAAATTTACAAATTTTTAAATAGTCTCCGTAACCTGCAACCAATATATCTGTGGGTATACAACAACGCTTCAATGTACAAAATTATTTCTTTTTTTAAACTCTACAAAATGGTTTGGAGAGAAAGTGTTTTTAGGGTAAAAACTGGGAAAATTAAATTTTTACCCCATAAGCCCCCGTACACATAGTCCGATTATGCTAGTTCGCGAACTGCTTAGAATAAATGTAAGTTTACACGTTTGTACCAAATTTCATCTAAATCGGATAATTTTTGCTAGAGTTATCGTGCTAACGGACATATATATATATTTATGAATGCGAATGGATGGTGTTTTTGGCCTCTGGGGACCTCAAAATGAAAAAGTAAATCGGTCACGGGTCTAGGTCTTACCATGAGACCTGCGGTAATAGACTATTCCCTATATGGGAAATTAGCTAAAAAGTGATTCGCAGAAAAACATATGGGTTGTATTCACATTTAAAATATTGAATAAATGTTAGTTGTTGTCGTTACATTAGTTTTGTTTGTTTACTTTTTTATTGAATTAACCCATAGACTCAGGATATTTTTTTTATTTCTCTATAATAAGTTTTTTATATAATGTCGTTTTAGAAATTTAACCTATTGCATATGGAGTACGACAGAATATGAACGAATTTAACAAAAATAATACAAAAAAAGACAAATCTTTGTCCTCTTCCACTATACCAAGGTAAATAGAAGCAAATCAGATGTTGTCTGCAGATACAGTAATTATTAAACTCACTAATGCCGACAACTCCCACCCAAGCCGAACACCGTTGAGGTGGGCTCTCCCACCAGCTAAGCCACACATTAGTGCTTTTATACACACATTAGTGCAAAGTTATTGCAGGTACTTTCCTGTTAAAGGGAACATTCATTATTATCGGTGATTTTTTTCAATGTATCAAAATTTTATCTTTTGATCTGATATATCGATATTAACAAATTGAAACATATCAGCTGACAACTACGATACATAAATATTGTCCAGTATCAACATGAACAATTAAAAAAATTATATATTTATTGACACTAAACTGTTCTAAGATAACCTAACCTAACCAACCAAAATTGCTGTAACATTTCAAAATTCCTATTGGTATTCCCAACATCCCGTTTCTGTTATAAAGCGGAATTTTGAAATGGTGTACCGTAGCAAGTTTGGTTAGTTATTTTAGGGTTAGTTTAGAAAGGAATATTATTTATTTTATTTCTTATATTATTTTTGCTTGAAATAAACAGTCTTCAATTTGTAAATTAAATGCGTTTGAAGATATTAAAACAGAATGAATATAGATCGTAAAAGAAAACAAAAATATCGATGGATCGAAAAATTCATCGATAATAATTCATGTTCCCTTTAACAGGAAAGAACCGTATTGCACAAGTATAAGATTTAAACCCTAGAAAGACTGCAGCACTACACTGGTTAGTGCAACACCTTACCCACCTAAGCTATCACGGCACTATCAGCCGAATGGGGAGGGGTGAAACTAAAAACACATGTTGGTTAAGTGTTTTTTTTGCTAACCGGTTGTTAACTAACGTCCAGGATCCGCGGCTGTGATTAGTGTAAAAACGACAACTCTGTCAACTCTGTGAAATCAGATGACAAGCGAGCGGCAATGCTAATTTCCATTATGTTTATAGGTTTGGTAATGTGATCATTTCCATGCAGTGGTAGGAAAAATCCTTTTATTGATTCTTACAATAGAATTCCAATGTTTACATTTCGATGAAGTTATTAGTTTTGACCAGCTGCCACACAGTTGAATGCAGATACATATACCAAAGAGATAGGTAGTCATTGTAAGAAGCGGGTACAACTGAGTTCATTGTCAACCTGTTGTGAGGCACCAGTAAAGCAGCTAGGCTAGTTTCAGAGAGAGAGGGGGAGAGAGAGAGAGAGAGAGAGAGAGAGAGATAGAGAGAGGGAGAGAGAGAGATCTTTATTAACAATCTTCAAGATTGTAATAGTGTCAGAGAATTACAGTAGTATACATTAGTGGAATTTCTTTATTTCAATCAAATACAAGGTAACCACTCGCTACCAACTGATATTTCTTCACCAAAACCACAAACACTTACTTGAACAGTCCTCAGTTTGTTTTCAAGATGTGTATACATCAGATGAAGAGCTTGGTGTTCATCTCTGAGCACTTGGTTCAAAGCTTCCAGGTCTTTGTTGCTCTTCTGGTACATTTCTATTTCTGCTCTCAAGCTTGTCAAAACTCTGCCATTTTCATTGAGACTGAAATAGAAATAGAAAAATGAATACACTTTAAACATTTAAGAATTCTCACTTTTGTTAATCCTACTATATATATATATATATAATATTATAAATGAAAAAGTTTGGATGTATGGATGTATGGATGTATGTTTGTGACAAGTGAACGCGAAGAATACTGGTCGGATTGGGCTGAAATTTGGCATGATGATGGCTCACATTCCCGATTAACATATAGGCATATTCTTATTTCAAAAATCCTTTCGGGCTCCGCCCCTGCGGCTCTGGAGTTTCCCATGTTAACCTTATGAGAAATGGAATTATTGAATCTTAACAGCTGTTTCAATTAAACAAGTTGGTTCTGTTCTATGATGTTCAATAGCATTAAAGTTACAAGGATTACCAACAGGGTACAGCACTATTTCTTTTACATATGACAACAGCTAATTTGCAACCAAAAGGTGAGTGAGCGTAGCGAACAAACTTCAACCTGGAGGCGAGTTAGCGTAGCGAACGAGCTAACCTGAAGGCATGTGAGCGCAGCAAACAAGCTCCAACCTAAAGGTGAGTGAGTGTAGCGAACGAGCTCCAAACTAAAGGTGAGTGAGCGTAGCGAACAAACTTCAACCAGGACGTGATTGAGCCATGCGAACGAGATAATCTTGAAAATTAAGTTAAACGGGGCAAAGCCCGCGGGTTACAGCTGCACATAAATAAATTTTAAAATTTATTAAAAAAAATTTTTAAAAATAATAATAATAATTTTTTAAAATTTTTTAAATTTTTTTTTTTTAGCTGTTTATAAATTTTTGTGGTGTCAACTTCGCCACAGCTGTCTAGCCTATTCCTTACTTTTTTTTATTTTAATATTTATTTTGTAAGAGCTGATAGTTTATTGCTAAAATAAAATGTTTTATTTTGTTTTTGTTATCATGTAGCGGAGTTCATTTTTATTTTGCCAGTAAAACGTTTGCATTAGGCTATAATTTATGTTCATATATGTAGGGGTGTATAATTTTGTGTAGATATAACATCACTATACGGTATGTTCTTCACTGTAAAATATTTGTCAAAAACAAAAATTTCAATCATAACTACAAAACACTTAACAAAAATAACTTTGTAATTAGAAATAATAAAAATTAGAGCCCTAAAAAAATGACTGTCGATGCAGGACATGAATTTTTTAAACTAGGTGTGCGATTTTAGGTCCGCCAATTGAGCAGAGCATACAAAATAGTAAATTAATAATTTTTTTTTTCTAAATATAATTTGAATTAGAAACAGACTAATGTAACATAACGACTTAAGAAAACTTGTAATAATCTTCATCATACGAGTAGGCTACCAATCATCCATTTACTCTTATTATTTATGCTAGTTAGTAATTCTCTCTATAAAAAATGGCTTAACTAGCCCTGAGAGTTTGTGAGCGGTTTGTGCTTGTAATATACGCTACACAAGAGTTTTCCTACGACCATAATATTAACTTATAATAAACCACAGATTAACTTTTTAGTTAAAAATAACTTATATAAAATTTCATTTAGGTTATGTTAGCTTTTTTAAGGTTAAGTTATTTGTTTACCGGTTGTTAAGTAACGTACTGGATCCGCGGATATAGTTGGTGTAGAAATGACAACTGTCAATCTGGTGATTTAGCCAGCGAGAATGATCCATTCCCGCTCTAGAGCGGCAAAGAGCTATTTTGCATACTGTTTACAGGTATGGCAAATGTGATATTATAATACGATCTGAGCAAGATCGTATTATTGACTAGTAATTTTTAAATGTTATTGATGTTTATAAGAATTTTATCCTAATTATCTGTTCTTTTTTTTAACTATGTTACCTATAAAAAAACCTTGGCTGGTTCCATGTTGATTCTGTCTAATTTATTGTTATCACTCAAATGTTTAAACTTGTTATAATTTTCTTTGTCCTGAATGTTCATTAAATTAGGCCTAATAAATTTGTTTTGAAGTTCATAACTTATATTGCATTAATAGGCCTACAACCATTGACTTTGTCTATATTAAATTATTAAAATGTTTACAGACAATAAATATTGATTGATAATTTCCATGCAGTGGTAGAAAAAACATTCTCCGTCAAATAGTCCCACTGATTAAGATTGCTCAGTAGCTTACATGTTTCGTTGGGAAGACAACATTTTCAAATCTTGGATCTCGTCAAGAACGTAATTAAAGCCACCAAGACACGAACATAAAAACCTTAAAAATTGTACGTATACACAAACATTTAGATAACACTATCATTATAATACTGATTTCGTCCGGCGTGGCCCGGGGTTTGTTTTCAGAGTAGTTTAAAATGATACATGCATTATCAAATTGAAATTTGTTTGTTGAAAAAACTTGCTCACTGTTTGTCGAAATAACCCTAGTAAGTTTGGCTCTAAACAATAAGCCTATGTTCAGCAGTTGTAGAGTGATAAAATTACAAAGTTTGCATAAGGTCTGATCTCAAGCTTTGTGTTTTTAAATTCCGTTTATTAAAGAAACAAAAACAGTCCAAATTCATTTATTGGATCTAGAATCAATAAACTCTATAAATGAGGAATGTGGCAATATGTGTTAGAATAAACTACTTAGTGTTTTCATCCGTGGATATCAATGGTGTACAGTACCAATAAATCCTGAATTCAAGACAATGATAGGTTAAGGTGGTATTTTCTAGCCTTTTTCGCTTACCTAAGTTCGAGTCTAGAAATATGTTTTTCTTTCTCCTGCAGTTTGTTGTTGAGATCAATGATCAACTGAGCGTTCTCGCTCCTCCGCTTGTGCAGCTCCGTCAGCTCCTCTTGCTGACTAAGAATCTTGTGTTCCAAGGCAGATATCTTGGTGAAGTCCCCTCCACTGCCGTGGGCCCCGGGAGATTGACTACCTTGTCTCAGTTTCTCTATTTGGATGTTGAGATGTAGATTTTCATTCCGCAACGATAACGTTGTGTCAAATAGTTGATTGTCTGGAAAGAAAATTTGATAGCATGTACCGGTACATAAAGATGAATTAATATCAAGCTTATTGTGCTGTGATCATTTTTTGTGTGCTTTCAATAAACTTACTTGGAACTTTTTTTATAGGTGAGTTAGTTGTGTATTCATTCCTCCATCCTTAATACCTACATTCCTAAGCCAGGTAAATGTAGGCCTACACTATTTTCTGTGTCTATGTTAAGATGTGTTGTATTTGATTTGCAATAGGCAGCTATGACAAATCGTAGAAGGAGATATAGGCTACTTCAAAATGTAGCAGCCACCACAAATTGTATAGGTGCCAATTACTTTATCTTTATATTATTTCTAAGTTTAACTCGCAAGATGCAAATTAAGAATAATACATGTCAGGTGACTTAAGAACTTAGGAATTAATGTGACTCTTGATGGACAAAACATGTTGTAACTTAAAGCCCATGTGATTATAAACAACCTTTTATAGGCCTATATGTTACACATGAATAATGAATATAAGTTTATCATATATAGTACGTTCTTAGTGGTAACATTGGCAGTTTTTAGGCAGTAGGCTAACTTACTTTGATATTGATTTATGTAAATTGTTTTAGGTTTGAGGGTAGCATGACAATAAGTTAAGTTTGAAATTTAGAGGAACATTTCATATTTATAGGCCTAAGTTATAATGCGTAGAGAGCTACCCAATGTTTCCATATGGCTAATCTGCAGATAGGGCCTAACTTATTTTCATCAATAGGCATTGATGATTAAGTTAATAGGCAAATGTTTATTAGTTATTTTTTGTGGAATCCCCACCATCGTTATTTTGTTACGTTTTTGAAAAAGAACAATCCAAACCCTCGTGTTGTTACTGTACTATAGCCATTTAATAAGAAAGTATTAAAAGAAAGTAGCCTATCTATTAGCCTTTTGTTAGGTGGTATTGTTAATTAATTGGTTTCCCGATGACAAATGCAATCTGATTCCAGAAACAATCTCGCTTAGAATCTAACCAGTGACCTTTAGATTAAAAGGCGACCACCAAGTCACAATTTTTACAATAAAGCTTAAGATATTTAATAGGCTATTAAATTAAAATCATAGGTCTGAATAATGTGTTGAAATTTCAAGATGTCAAGGATGGGAAGAAGTTTTGATTGAATAAAACACAGTAGGCTAGTCACCATCAATATGTATAGGAAGGATGTTGGGTACAGTTTCTTAACTGGGCTATGCTAATATTGATTGAAACTATAGAATTGAAAATATTGATTAATAATCGATATTTTTTAATATATCTATTATAAAATTGAACTATCATAACCTAACCTAACCAACCAAACTTGCTGATAGTGAAAAAATCGCATGAAGGTTTACTAATCGAATCGATAGTTTCAATCAATATTAGCATAGCCCAGTTAAGAAACTGTACTCAGGATGTTCAACTTGGGTTACTCTGAGGTCTCTTGATGACTCTACCAATAACTTAAACATTGGCCTTCATTTGTTTATAAACTGTACCAGATGCTCATAACCGATGTAGTATGGTATTTTATTTACTGTACTGAATTATTAATTTAAACCCCTTTATAAATGGGCGTTGTATTTTCAGGAATTAACTAATTGTAGTTATAACCTAGCTTTCAAATGAAAGTTATTTGACAACCCAATTTTTAAGAGAGAGCGAAAGTTTTTGTTTGTAGGTTATGTTTAGTGAAAGATGTCTCTGATAGTAAAACTGTAAACTTACGATAAGTTATAAGATCTTCAAAACATTTGCACTGCTGCCGGTTTCGGGTTTGTAATTGAGAAGATATATTTTCTCTCCAATCGCCTTCAGAACCAACATCATTAGTAAATGCCATTTTTACTTTACTCTAATGTTAAAAATTCCAAATAAACACAGCCGACCATCACTGAGATGAATTAAGATTTCCTGACTCGTCTGTACCTGAACCACAACAAAACTACTGAAAAATCTGTCTGCTGTAGGTTAAAACAGATGTGTCTAGAAACAGTCTACTAGATATCTCGATCGATAGTCGATAGACTCGAATGATCACGGCCGCCGAATGATACATAGTGTACATACATACAGGTCCTACATGATATCATGATACATATGTCCGTAGTCCTTTGTCGTAAGAAATTGAACAAATGAGGATAATTTTATTATTACAACCTACCTAAAACTAGTTCTGTCACCGTTAGAGTCAGAATCGTTCATTGCCATAATAATAAAAAAATGTACAGGGCAAAATTCACTAAAAAACTAAAGCAAATAAAATCAGACCCAATCTTCTATCAATCTCTATATATATTAATAGATAAGCATGTTTCTTTAAACCGTTTTTTCTGAGCCCGTGTGCATCGCAGGGAAAATCAACGCATACTGTTAGAAATGATATTTTCCTGTGATGTGCAGAATCCCTTTATAAATAAAAAAAAGGCCCAACAAACTAGAAAAATTAATTTAAAAATTAATATGTGCTACATGAGTTGCCATGCTAGTGGTGAAATAACAACAAAATATAAACAGATAATCAAAATACAAATCAAATAAATTCCAATCAAATATTTATTTACAGAGTGGGGTGAATGTAGAGAAGTCTGTACATTCACATTGCATAATATTTTGGTCGAGTTTACGACCGCTGAACAGTGGACGACATCTAGTATATTTTTAAATGGCAAGCATGTTTCTTTAAAACATTTTTTCTCAGCTCGTGTGCATTGCAGGTAAAATCTACGCATTACTATTAGAAAGATATTTTCCTGTAGGTGTGCAGAATACCTTTATAAATTTAAATAGGCTCAAAAATAAGAACAAAGAAGAGTTTTAAATTTGAAAAAAATAATATGGGTCTTATAGGTTGCCAAGCTGGGGACGAAATAACAACGAAATATAAACAGAAAATCAAAACATATGAAATAAATTCCAATCACATGTTTTTTTTTTTAGAGCGTGGGGTGAAAATAGACAAGTCTGTAGGCCTATACATATTTTTGGTCGAGTTTTCGACCACTGGACAACCTCTAGTCAAAATAAAGATAAGTTAGATATCTTATCAACTATTCCCTCAAACCATGCTTCCGCCCCCTCCGCTGAATTTTTATTTCAGCTGCAGTATTTTTAATACTGTCAACGTCGGAGTATTCTATTGGCTGAGGGACCACCATTACTGCAACGATACGGCTAGTTGTCATCGGCCTCGGTGGTCTAATGGGTAACGTGCTGGGCTGAGAAGCCAAAGGTACCAGGTTCGAAACCTCTCGGTGGCATTAACTTTTTATCAAAGATTTTTGCATTATCAGCAAGTTTGGTTAGTTTGGTTAGGTTATAACAGTTTAATTTTATAATAAAAAAAATTTTAAATTGAATTTGAAGCATTTATAGATTTATTTTATGAACAGAACTATTTTTTTGATAAGTAAACCTTCATTCAATTTTTTCATTATCATCAAGTTTGGTTAGTTAGGTTAGGTTATAACATTTTTATTTTATAATTAAAAAATTAATTTTAAATTTTAAAATTTTTATTTATTTTTTGTATTTCTAATTTTTAAACTCTCATTTTGTCCATATTAAAAAACTGCAGCTGAAATAAAAATCGTGCGCCCCCTCCCCCCTACCATCGTAGCAGCGCGTTCCAAGGCTAGAGAGCGCGTTCACCGGCCACAATAAGACTACCCCAAATATACGTGTCCTGCCAGCTGTTTTTGTAGAAAAGTAATGGGCAATTGCATGCTGCATCAACAAATCTAATAACATTTTAAGCCCTCTTTTACAGACTTTTTGTCTCCCCGTTTTCATGCAAAACGCGATTCTGTTTTGCATACATTAAGAAATGCAATGTATGTATCAAGCCAGAACAGTCATAATCTCGTTTTGCGGCGCATAAACGGCACATAAAAACGTCCGTATACAAGGGTTCTTTATAACGCTTTTCATTGTACACTTTTAGTCAGATATACAATCACAAATATTTTATTCACAAATCTGTTATATTTTAAAACTAAATTTATCAAAACAAAAAAAGTTATTTGTATAAAAAAGTATGTGGATCTGATCTGACTAAAAGTGTTCAATGAAAAGGTTATAACCATTATACATACATGACAGATCCTACTTTAAAGAATAAACAATATTGAATGAGTTAAGGTAGTAGTTAGTTCACACTTTTCTCCTTGATTGAAACCTAGAAAATAAAAATAACAGTAACAGTCCAAGTTAAGTCCAAGGAGATCAGCAGTTATAGTTCTTGAATATTCAAGACTGCTAAATTAACTAAGTCTTTCTGCAGAAGATCTGCTTCATAACATGTTGCCCTTCCAAGGCATGAAAACGATATTTCTGGTAAGCAGTTTGATATATAGCCGTGCTTTCAAATATCATTAATGCCACATCTAAATTTGGACAAACTAAACTGATTGAAGATATTCTTCTATAATTTCTTTCAAAAGCCTTAGTGGAGGGATTTTGTTAGGTTTTTTACTGGGACATTCGGTTTAAAGTTTGAATAATAATGGTTTAATTTACCTCTGTCAATATGGTCCTTGCGTAGTTTGTCACTACTGCAGTTTCGTGCTCGTGGAGCACATCATCAGGTGAAGGTCACAAAAAGTTAAAACATTTTCCTTACGTGAAGGTCGTCAATTTAACACACCGAAAAAACACAAAACACAATCCACAAGCACGAAACTGCAGTAGTGACAAACTACGCAAGGACCATATTGACAGAGGTAAATTAAACCATTATTATTGTTGCTGTATGGTCCAGAGGCTACCCATCATGAAATTAAAGTTTGGGTTTAACATCATTTTTGTTCTCATCTTAGCTGGGGTTTTCTTTTTATGCCTTGACACTTTCAATATAGGATTTATGATGTAGGCCTACAAGCTCATAAAAGAAGCTATCTTCAACATCTGATAAGTGATGAAATTTTTAGATTAAAACCTCCTTTTTAAATAATTTATCTTCCACAATTTTGCCGCCCCTAATATTTGCCACCCTAGGCACGCGCCTAGTCCCCTATTCGGAAATATGTCCCTGTCTTTAACAAACGACACATTTGGCTTTAGAGTTCAGTTGGACGATCCACTGTGGATGCAATTGATGCCATGGATCATTTACAGGCCTTTCGAAGAAAGGTATTTTGACTACATCAAGGGTACAAAGATTGTGGGGGTTGTTGGGGGTTTGATTGTGTTGATCTTGCTACACAAGCTGAAATTTTATGCAATTAAAATAGTGCTCTCAATACTTTGTGGTCTTATTTAACAACTTATTAGAAAGGCGGTACATGCTGATTGCAAATGGTCCTCCATCGTCCTCAACAACTGCGAGATTCCTCCGGGTTATATTTTGGGACCCCTTCTGTTTTTTATTGCCGTAAACGATCCACCCATGAATCTTAGCTGCAGATATCTCTAGGCAGATGATACCACCTTGCTCTCTTGTCACAGTGACCTTTTGCATCTCAAGTCACTATGGTCAGAAACAGTCAACACTGCTGCTGAGTGTTTCTCAGCCACAAGTTTTCTTTAGAATTAATATGAAACCCAATAATTTATGTTTTGCCCAAGACCTCTTCAAGATAATATCCTATTATAGGCTCCCTGAAGATGAACTATGCTGTGTGGTAAAATTTCTGGGAGTCCACATTGACAATCAGCTGACTTATGTTTGATCATATACCACATGGTTCTCTGTACTTGGTTCAGTAGAATGATATTCCCTTTTCGTAGACTTAATGATTTATTTCATATTAGTTATATAAGATCCGTATGTTTTGCTTTATTTTACTCTGCTTTGAACTATGGTAGTCTACTTTTTTTTGCTTTAAATATTTGGAAGAAGACTTCCTGGAAGCATTGTCAAAACTAAAATCCTTCACAAAACATTTGTAAGTAATCTCAGCCCCTTTGAAACAAACCAGCACAAAGGGTAATAAGTGGCAAAACATAAATAAGAACATAATTTATTTACAAAGACAAAACATCAGTGCTCTTCAAAAATCAATGAAATTATAGTATACTACATAACTAAAAACGTTACAAATCATAACATAATATTAAGTACCGTACATATAGAGACCAAAACACTATTGATAATAATGTATTTCAAATAAATAAAGGTTTTAACACCAAACACAATAGAAAAAAATACAATAAATTATGTCATACATTGTCTTTCATAGTTTCATTAGCGTTTTAAGAATATCACAATTTGAAAAGTTAAGATAACCAAATACTGATGATCTGATTCCAAGGAACATTGTTGGAAGCTCGGTTATCAAGTAAACAAACAACATTCATGCTTTATTCAGTGGTGAATGAGACAACAATGTGAAGAATTATGATCTGCAATCTCTCGATACAAAAGTAGACTACATGACAAATTTAATGTTCAAGACAGAAAACATTCAGATTAATTCCTATTAACACATACATTGTGCAAAAATTCCCAATGTCCAAGATAAAAGAAATGTCCCTTTCACGCTGTTGTTCATATAACTTACAATTTTTTTAACGTAAAGAATTGAAGCCATTACTTTCTGTGTTATCACTGATTGGATTGTAATATTTTGGAAATATTCATGGATATTACTTTAATGATTTAACTGTTATACAAATTTCAAACATATTCAATCTATTCAAATTTCTTGCATTTAAAATTTATATTCCATTAGATGTTTAATTTAACTTAACCTGCTGGGGTATTGACTAAGGCCCTAAGGCTTACTAATGCATCTGTGAACCATATTATTTAAACAGATAACAATCAAATCCATGAACTTAGATTTGTAAAGGGTTTGATGTCCTAGCTACCATTTGATGTATATATTGTGGCAATTACACTGAATAGTTATTTAAAACAACGCTACATAATGAGACTGAAGTATTTTTTCAGATCCAAGCAAAACTGAAGGAAGTACAAATGGAAATTCACTTAGTCTGCAGATTCGCTGCAGCAAGGGTATTATTGTAATTGTAAATAACAGGTTTCCCTTAGTTTTTGATTAAAGAGATGTTGTACAAGTGCAACATTTAATAGTTTGAATTTAGTAAAAATAATTGACCATTTACTTCATGGGTCGCCGGAAGACTGCCCCCCCCCCGACAACTACCTAACCTAACCAACCAAACTTGCTGTAACATTTCAAGATTCTGTTTGAGATTCCCCACATGCCTTTTCTGTTGTCAAACGGAATTATTGGTTAGTTGGCAGATTTCGTGATGTCACGTTTCACCTGGGGGGGCGGGGGGGGGGGGGTAGTATTCTGCATCCCCTACTTTATCGCTTAGCCACAAACCCCACAAGATTAAATTAAATTTCTTGCTCACAAGGATTATTATGCTCTAAATTTTAAAAGCAAGCTTTATTCTGAAACGTTAACATATTTTGTGATTTAAATCAACAAAAAAAGAGACTTGTTCAACAACATGCTTTGATAATTTAAACTACTACTTAAATTGTCTATTTCAAGCAATGAGGGAATGATAACTATATGCTAATTCAAATTCACTAACTAAAAGCGTAGTGAACATTATTCAAACCGATACAAATATATTTCACAATGTATAGTTACCGTTTTACTTGATTTTCTAAAGTGATATTTAAAAAATATGCCTATTCTTTTTTAACATTATGTCGGTTAACAGATATTTTAAAAATCTAAATCTTTAGTGAGGCAAATGTTTTGATATATTATGAGCTTATCTAAGTTTGTACAAAAGGAAGATCAACTTTCACTAAGTAGGCCTACTACTAAAATTACAAAAAAAAACCTTAAACTAATTAACCTATAAAGAGATTTTTTCTAAGGTAAAATATATGTAACAGTCCTTCACAATGTTTGATTTACACATGTCATAAGGTTTATAGAAGAGTAGAACTAGGAAGTGAGTTTATAGAGGTTTTGTGTGCTTGTGTAACTTAATTAACGATAAACATAAACACATTGTGTTTAACATCTTCATTTAATTAGATTGCAGTTCAAGTTTCATTACCAAACTGCAATGTTCCAAAAGGCTAGGTTTTTGTTACCCATTCAACATTTAAATGACCATTTACCCTTGTGTGTAGCATAGCACTTAGCAAATAGTATAGAGGCTTAGTAAAACGACTAGAAAAATATCATCGATTGTATTTTACATAGTTTGTTAATTTATATACCTGTACTTATAATTCAATTTCTGACATCTGTTGATCATGAAAATTAGTTCGTGTAGTAAAAAAAAACAATATAGCAATTCTGTGACATAGAGACAAAAAATATAATGAGTATTTGTCTATGATAAAATATGATTGAATCGATAACTATAACCAGTTTTGGAGTAACATATAGACTACTGTTTTAAGTACAGAAAAACTTATTATATTTTTGACAAAAAACAACGCTTATAAACAGCCTAAAGCCTTTCTGAACGATTTTAAAGGTATTTATAATGATCATAGCATATGTGATAAATATTTGGTACACTTAAAATGTAATACATTTTAGAGTTTATACAAAAAATTCTTGCGATCTTTGTGCTCCAACTTAGTTGAACAATGATAGTGTTTTGATCAGGTAAGGTAAGTATTAATCTAGTAGCAATGTATAATTTATTACAAAAAACATAAAAATAATTACTTACACTATTTATTTTCTATTTGGATTTTGCTCAACTTGTGAACGTAAACTGTCAAATCACCACATAACCTATAAGGTATAAAAAATTGATAAAAATAGGAAACAGCCTATAATAATGAAAGACACTACCGGAATATGATAATTAAAAAAATTAAAGAATTGATCGAGATGAAAGTCTAACACTCAATTTCTTCATATTCACTACCACATCACACCAATCAATACAAATAAATATACATTTAGCCTACCAAAACCCTTCAACGTGCAGATATTGGTCCATCTATCAATTATTTAAAAATAAAAGTTAACATTTTTATACATTATGTACAAATTTGCCAACAATACGGTTCTAGATAACAGAAATATCACAATTTCATCACGACTTGACTTGAACAGAAAATTGAAATATAACAAGAACACAACTGCATAAGTACTCATTTGAAGTTTTCACTTGGAGATATTTTAACGTAAACGTCGCTTTCAATACAATTTGTAACAACACTAATAATTTAACTATTTTGTTCAAAAATCACGTATTTGTAACCCTTTCTTCGCTTTTAATTTAATTTACTAAATCAAATATCACATAGCTTTTAAGGAAACAATATTAATTGAAGTTAGTAAATCCTCCTTAAGCCATGTACAGAAAATAACACAGCTAAAAATTGGTTGAGCAAAAGTGAAATTATGAAACGCTAGAGAATGAAGTGAAGATGATACTTAAAAGCTAAAAATATAAGTTTGTTGAACTGTGTACTCTGATCAAGGTTGATAATAAGATTAAACGTTCAACAAACTTTATAAACATTCGGATATGAACTATAAGATTTCATCCTTGACAGTCATTTCACGACACAGAAAAAAAATATTGTACGATAAAAAAATATTGTACGATAAAAAGCTGTGAAAAATTACACCACAAAAGGGTCGACAGCTAACAAATCTACCGAAGCGGTTGAATTGTTTAAAATGTGAGTCAAAACCGCCGTGAAGCACTCTCAAGCATCGTTACCGTAGTACTTTAAATTGACTTTTCCATGTTTGTAAAAAAATTACAAAAATGTAAACTACCGTAATTTAAAATAAAAACAAAAGTTTGTGCTATAAAAACCTATTAGTGCTAGTCTGTACAAAAAGAGGCGACGCTAGTGCAGTAGTGTTTCACGTAGATTCTCCACTGGTTGACTCTGGTTGACAGAGGGGGGCTCGAGGGGGGTCGTCACATGGAGAACTGGCTGCTGACGTTGTGGGGGGCTTCTCCTCAAACACTGTAACCAGAAAAGCTCATGATGTGTATGCGGAATTAAAGAACTTGGATTGTGTAGAAAGAGAAACTTTGTAATGTAAGGGTGTCAAAAATTTTACTGTTAGTATTAACAAGTTTCCTACATTCAGCTATTTATTCCAGTAAGTTTTTTTTCACGTCCAAGAATGCTAGTCTCAAACCTGGAACTATTTTTACACCTTACTTTAAGTTCAGCCTATAGGGTCAGTGCATTATAACATGAATAGTCAATTGGTGATTGGGGGTTTGAGCCCAGGACCTAAAGAACCGAAGTTCTGCTCTAGACCAGCTCGCTCCCAATATTACAGGTGAAACTCACGTTTGTCCAGACTGATGATGGAGCCGGAGGTGACCAGATCCCCGACGGCCGCAGTTGGTTGGTCTTCCAAGTGTTTGTGTCTTCTGATCAGCCACCAATCCACCAGGAACAGCGACAATGCTAGGATCTTGATACCACAACAGAGTCCCACATACCTGTAATGAGACTACAATCTTACAAACTCATTACAATACCACTGATATATACACAACAATCACTGATATGTACATACAAGC